TCTTAATCTATATTTTTTCTAAATCTATATTATTTCCATAACACATAAGACAGAGAGTTGTGGCATCAATAGCTAAGGCAACAGATCTTCAGTCAGATGTAGCAGGGAGCTACATAGATAATGATCTTTGAAAAGTGCCTTGGAGAAATCATCAGTACCAGTATAATACAGGCTGTGGAATGAAGAGATTAGGAGTGACCCTGAAGAGAAGGACTTGGGGACATTGCTGGCTGAAATATTGAACATAAGCCAGCAACATGCATTTGCAGCCTGCAAGACAACCATGTCATGGGCTGCATCAAAAGCAGAGAGGGCAGCAGGGTGAGGGAGGCAATTCTGATCCTCTGCTTTGCTCTCATGGGTCCGGTGTTGAGTACTGTGTCCAGCTCTGGTGTTCCCAGCACAAGAAGGACATGGATCTGTTTGAGTGAGTGCAGAGGAGGGTCACAAAAATGATCTGAGGGATAGAACAGTTTGCTTATGAGGAAGGGCTGAGACAATTGCTTTTCTTCAGCTGGGAGAAGACTCTAGGGAGACCTTATAGTAGTATTTTAGTCCCTAAAGTGGACTAATAAGAAAGACAGAGACAAAAGTTTTACAAGGCGTGTTGTGATGGGACAAGGGTTAATGGTTTTAATCAAAAAGAGGGTCAATTTAGACTGCATATAAGGAAGAAATGTTTTATGATGAAGGTGGAGAAATGTTGAAACATGTTGCCCAGAGAAGTTATGGATGCCCCATCACTGGAAATGACAGGAATTAAATAGAAGAGAAAAGAATAAAATAGCTTATTCAGTTGGAAGAGACCTACAATGATCATCTAGTTAACCGCCTGACCAGTTCAAGGCTGACCAAAAGTTAAAGCATACAATTAAGGGCATTGTCAAAATGCTTCTTAAATTAAGACAGGCTTGGGGTACTGACCACCTCTTTAGGAAGCCTGTTCCAGCATTTGATTACTCTTTTGGTAAAGAAATGCTTCCTAATGTCCAGTCTAAACCTCCCCTGATGCAGCTTTCAACCATTTCCACACATTCTATTACTGGATCCCAGGCAGAAAAGCTCAGACCTCCCTCTCCCTTTCCTCTGGTCAGGAAGCTGTAGAGAGCAGTGAGGTCACAGCTCAGCATCCTTCCCTTCAAACAAGATAAGCCCAAAAAATCTATAGCTGCTCCTCATAGGACATTCCTTTTAGCCCTTTCATCAGTTTTGTTGCCCTTCTCTTACTGCATTTGAGTACCATCATGTACTTCTTAAGTTGTGGGGCCCAGAATTGTGTGCAGTACCCCAGGTGGGGCTGCGCCAACACTGACTACAGTGGGATAATCACCTCTCTTTCCTAGTTGGTGATGCCATGTTTGATGAACCCCAGGATGTGTTTTGCCCTCTTGGCTGCCAGGACTCAGCTGGCCCACACTGCACCTGCTGCCAACCAGCATCCCCAGATTCCTTTCTGCAGGGCTGCTCCCCAGGTAAGTGTTAAAGGTCAGGTTAGATGGGGCTTCAACCAGACTGAGTGGAAGGCATCCCTGCCCATGTGGGAGTGTTGGAATTAGATGGTTTTTAAAAGTCCCTACTGACTCAAACCATTCTGATTCCATGGTTCTATGATCCTTTCCTGCAGTGCTGTCTTACAGTGCCCTAGTGCACGAGAGAGTAGAGGACAAAAATCTTACTCTGTAGCTTACTAAGGTATTGCTTTGCCTTCAGTGTGCTCTGAACACAGACCAGGGCTCTACACTGGGACCCTTGCTGCCTGTGCCCAAGGGATCACCCACGTGCCGTGCTGGTGGAACAGCACGAGCCACCCGGCAGCAGTTCTCTGTCACAGCCTTGTCTGGCTGAGAGCTGGAAAGCTCTCCTGCGTGCCGTGCTGGTGGAACAGCACCTCCTGTTGTGCCCCAGGAGGCCCTGGTGCCTGTGAGCCACCCAGCAGCAGTTCTCTGTCACAGCCTTGTCTGGCTGAGAGCTGGAAAGCTCTCCTTTTGCCCATTTGGGACACGAGGCTGAGGGAGCAGTGCCTCGCTGGCTCAGCCTCCCCAGTCCGGGAAGAGGCATTCAGTCAGCCAGCCGCTCGGGTCATGGAGTAAAGCTCTGGCAAAGGTTATAATGAGCAAAAACTCAACAAATTGCTGTTGCAAACATTTGGGCTGACTCCCTTCTAGGCTGGAGTCATCTGCTGAAGGCGGCAAGAAGGGAAAGATTTTTCCTTTTTTATAGTCAAGCTGCTGCCTGCAGAATATGAGAGCTCTAACTAGTGTGCTGACTCTGGCAACAAGTCAGCCCCAGTGTCTGCATAGCTGTTGGCAGAGAACAATTGGACTCACAAGTTTTCAAAATATTTTCTTTTTCTCTCCTCCTCATGATTTTCTTTGTTTACCCAGGAGAAAGAGATTTGTTGGTAACCTCTGAAGATATAATAGTGTCCTATTTCAATTGAGATCAGAACATGTAAGCCATTTACTCAATTTAAAGTTATTGTATTCCAAGATCTATGAAGTACTGTATAGATTATAATTGCTTTCAACAAATATGTTAGTGAAATTGCAGTGTTTCAGGGTGAACCATATAATCAGTCTTCTTGGAAGTTTTGGAGACAGGAGTTAATAATGGGTTATCTTCTCAGTTATGCTATGATAGACCATTTCCTATCTGGAAATAGGTCATGTCAAATAGTAGCAGCAGTTTATTTTTGCTATTATTTGTAACCATCAGTAGCTGCTATCAAAACAGGAACCTCATTTTGCTGTGTGGATTGAACACGTGAGAAGCAAAAGCACCCCTTAGCCTACAAACTTTGCTAAAAGTGAAATGCAGTAAATGGATGGACCAAATATTTTGTTGTGGATTAGATGTAGCAGAAATAATAGCAAGGGAAGTATTGTTATGAATGCTGACTGCACGTGTAAAGCAGTTTTCCAGCTGCTTATCCACTTTCCAACAGCTAAGTGGTCTGGTGGTGCCAGGGTGGACATTTGGTTGGAGAACACCTGCATGGCTGGATGTTTTGGCCATGGCTGGCAGGAAACTCAACTATGCTTTGAAAACTTTGCTTGATGCGCTTTATTTTCCTGCATATATGGAGGACTGGCTTGAAGTGACCTTTGAACTTCAGGTATTACAGGGGAAACAATTTATTGAAGTGAATTTAGGATTGGGTTGGTGTCTTTGGGTGGTGTTTCCATAAGTATCCTTGCTGATCAGGGGGTGAGTCAAGAGCTGTGGGACTTGACTTTACTTTCCAAGTCTATACTTCTGACACTGAGGCAGAGTATCTGTCACTCAACCAGGAGCCATCACAATTCTTCCACATTTCTCAGAAATGTCACATCTCCCCCTGCCATAACCAGATAATCCATTGGCTTTCCTGATAAATATGAACTTGGTTGCTGGGAAATGAGTTCAGGCTACCTAAAGATATTAGGAATATTTTTTTCAGCATGTGAAGATGGAAGTGCACTCCTCACACTACTATAACGGGGGGATACTTTTACTTATTTTCCTCCTTTTTTTTTTCAATATTCTGAGAAAAAAAGAGATTTCAAGGGACTCAGAATTCTCAAATTAATGTGAAGTCATTGTGCTTAAACTGTACTTCGGCTTTGACAAATGATGCTATAAAATCAGTGATGTGCAGTCCCTTCTTAAGAGTGTCTTTCTGACTCAATGTCATTCACGCTGCTTGACAAACAGTTTTATATGTAATACAGGAAAGGACAAGCATGCACTCTCACAAAGTCATTCTTAGAGATGTTATAAGCAGAAATCTTCTTCTCAGAAAATTTTGCCACCTCATCTTACTGTAACTACCTTCTAGTACAAGACAGTGGGGGAGGTGACATCTTCCCTTGAAACACCTCGCTTAAGTAATTTCTAACATTAGAAATAGCGACACATAAATCAAATTGCAATATAAAACCAAATGCTGATATAATAACGGAGGACAAGTCCCACAACATCTAGTGATGAGTCACATTTCATTGTTTCCAAGAGCTTTGTGCACACCAGCATCTAACCACAGCCAGTCACAGCCAGTCACCTTTGCCAAGAGCATTTCCAGTCATATACCCCTACCAACTTAGGTTAAACTGAATCCTCAGAAGGTTGCAAATGCCACAAAGAGCTGATATGTATGTGACATATCACCATAGAAACAGTGGTACAATTCCACATTGAGGACCTCCTTACTAAGTGCAGCCAAATGAAAGAAGTAGAGCTGCTAGAAAATTGCAATGCTGTCTGACTTCATGCTCTGTGTTATTATTGCCCTTTCAGATTCTGTAGAGTGTGATTATTCCCTCCAGTAATGTAAGCAAACAAGTGAGTAATTTTTTTTAAAGACAATACTGAACAGGAAACAAATAGAGAAAACCACTATGTATTAATTCATCATAGTAAAAATATAATGCACAGTAGGCTACTTGTGGCTTTGCGCAATTCAGGGTTTCCTGATGTGCTCTGACATCTTGGTATGTGAATGAGGTTTTCTGATGCAAGTAAGTGCAATTCCCTAACTTGATGTTAATCTGGTTTAACAGAAAGTGGGGAATAGTAAAAAAGTCATTCAGAAGTCTCAGTGTTCACTCGCTTGACTTAAGGACACTCCCATGTGGAATACAATAGACTTTTACTGTACACATCAAAATTTTATCAAAACTCAATGTTCAGTTAAGAAGGAAAGTTTTTTTTTATTCAGCAAAAATATGACCCTTTCCACTTCGTTGTATCAGATGTCCCCAATTTGTCTTTTATAATGGATCTTTTCTGGACCCCAGGATCCCATAAAACCCTGGCCAAAATGACAGCTCATGGTTCTAAAACTTTGAAATACATTTTTTTCCCCATTAAAAGAAATTTCTTTTTCCCCAAGCACCTCAGTCTTTCCTAGATCAGAACCATTTCCAGCTGGAACACTTGAGGACTCGTCTGAACAGCAGCTGGCACACAGGTGTTTTAATAATATAAACTGAAATTGTCGTTTGGGCGTCCTCAGTCTTGTCATTACGCTGTTACCACATTCAGATACTTGGAAATCAGCCTTAAAATCCAGGATGTGAGAAGGAAATGAGCAAACGCATCCTGCTGTTGTTCTGCCTGCTTAGGGATTGCAAGGCAAATGTGTCCATGCAGGTCCAGCCGTTTTGCCCGCTCTCTAGGAAAGAAGATCCTGTTCACGGTTTGTAATTAAGACCGTAAATCTGTCATTTCTTCCCGCATTGCTCTTTCACTCAGCTGTCACTTTTCAGCTGCTCTTGCAGCTTGGTCCTGCCCCCACCAAATCATTATGCTCACTTCTTGCTGGAGCTCCATCCGCTTTCCCTTGTGCAATCTGTTCTCTTGCTCCACACATCCCTGTGTCCCTAAATCCTGCTCTCTCTTGCCCAGCTGTTTCGCTGTCCCCTCTTGATTTCTCCTTCCTTCCACCCGGTCAACTCTTCTGGATCAAGCCAGCATCCAGCTGTGGTTTTCTGCTGACTTTTTCATCCTTGTCGGGAATGGACATAGAAAAGGGGGAAGCGTCGTCCTAACCGAGACAGCGGGATAGGATTTCTTCTCGTTGGAAACAAGCAGAGACAGAAACCCTCCTCAGAGGCAGCTCTTTCATTTATTCCTTCAAAGGCTTGGGAAAGCAGGCAGTGATCTTCCTCTGGACAGACTTACTCCTACACTGCAATTCATGGAAACTGTTGACCATTGCGGATGAAAATCACAAATTCATGGGAATATTTCTGGATTTAAGACTACTAAAGGCTCTTTGAAAATTCCCATGTGAACAGAACTGCCAGAAAAATTTTCTGTGTGGCAACTTCTGAGGTTTCAGTTGTTGTTTCCATTCTGTGCTCACAGGAAAATACAAGTCTTCATTAAAAATGAGAGGTGGTGGGATATGGTCTAGAGACTGGCAGCTGATAGACAGCTTGGAATAAGGTGAGCACACAGTCAAGAGATTAATCTTTTTTAGTAAAATCAAAACTGTATGGAGAAGGAACTAGACTGTGCCTCCCACAAGACATTGGCTGTCACCTCCTCTCTGCCTCCACAGACGCAGGAAACTCCTGGGAAATTGTTTCTGAAGTAAACGTGAGTTTTGGAAATGCAGAGTAAAGAGCCAAGTTTATATGGCAGCAATCATAAACTCAGTCCTTGTATCTGCCAGAAGGTTTGGGCAGTATTTTTAGATAAATCCAGAAATATTTGGGAAAATGCAGAAAAAAGGGTAAGATACATCCAAAACTTGTAAATATTTTGCAAATCTTAAGAATTCATACCTTTTTTAGCTTTATAAATCCAATCTTTCTATTGAGTAAATGCACAAAATCAAAGCTTTCACTTAAAAACATACGGAGATGTCCAAGCCCCTAGAGCTGCATAAAAAGCTATTTTGAACTGTGAATCCCAAGAGTTTGAAATGTTGAATAAAAAGAATTCAGCTGCATAACTTTTAAATATGTTGGGTTTCTTCTAAAGCTGCTGTAATTTTGGGGTCACACCTTACGATTCTCGAATGTCTGAGGTTAACACGTTATGGATGGCTAGTGGAGGGCAGCTTTACACTACAGCCACATGTCACTGGGTGGGTGGAATATCAGGAAATGAGGGAATAACTCAAGCTTGTGCATGAGGCATACACAAGGGAGTGAAACAGTGAGAGAAAATGCCATTGGTAGCTGGTAAGAGAAAATTCCTGGCAGTAAGAGCTGTTATTTTGTTGTTATTTTGTCTGACATTAGCAGTGAGATGAACTGAGTGATCTAGGAGTGTTTTGTTATCTCTTACTTCTAGGAACCCTGGAGCCACAATGCCACTTGGACAGGATTTATGGACAGCTTTTCAAAACAAGCAGGCGAAAAATGCATGTGCATCCAAAGGAAGCTTGGGCAAAGATGGCTTTGGTTTTCTTCTTTGTTTTTGTTTACTGGTAAAAAGTTGAACTTTTAAATAAATGAATAATTAGGCACCAATTTAATTGTTTCATACACTACACTGTTAATGTTTCATATGCTACACACCCTTTTCAATTACTTGAAAACCCCACAAGGGTCTCTGTACCTTCTGAAAGCAAGATGGCATTTAAAAACTAGAAAAAACCAAATCCGATGTATTTTGAAAGTGGTGGAGTTTCTGTCAGCTCTTTGTCTCATATCCAGAGGTCACTAATTTTTCAACTGCAGCTCTAAGTAATAAGGAGATATGACTCCTCTGCAATTGTGTATTTGAAAAAAATAGAGGTTTAAATATGCATGTGCCTCAACTGATAATTTTCTGTGCCCTTACATATTTCAGTGTGCACTTACAAAGGGGATGTAACTATTTTCAGTTTTTGAAAATCCTCTTTAGGCACTGTTTTTTGCTCCTATTGTTGTTCTGTTGTTATGGTAAAGCTTGCAGTCTTACAGCTTAAGCCTCAAAGATTTAAATAGTTAATCAAAAACCATCTTCACTGGGATAGCATAGATGTATTTAACATCCATGATAAAACTTTACTCCCATTGTCCATTGCTTGTAAGGCAAACATATACTATAAAATTAGTCACTGCCTTGCTCCTTAATATTTCATTAAGCTAAAATTTGGACAATTAATAGCTAGAAATGCTTGAATGGAATTTATCCATTTAGGCAACAAAGCCCCACTAGGAGTGCATATTTAATCACAGATATTACATGCCAACAGACCTATTCCATGCTGCTCAATTTAAGCATGATGGACATTTTTTTTAGGCATACATTTATTAATTTTGAAAACCATAGTGACTTGGCATTTATAAAATAAACATATTATCATTCTACAGTATTTTCATGGCACTTAAAAATATTTACACTTTTGGGACTGGAAATCTTGCTTGTTTAGTTAGAGAATTCAGACTCCAGGGATTTTTGGGGCAGACTTTCCCGCATTTGATAGCAATTTTCAGTGGCTTTCTTTCAAGCTCAGCAGTAAATATTTGCATGGGCTTCTTTACATCTCTTGACTTCATGTTGTAGCTGTAGCTTGTTGCCTTTGTCTGTATTTTCTTTGGCTGAGGAAAGATGGAGTATTGAGCACTTCTTTTCCTTTCTTATGATCATTGCCATTAAATCCTTGAAACTTATTGTGCTTTGTTAAAGCAATTTTAATTTCAATTTCGATTACAGATTTGATTCTTTTAAGCATTTACCTACAGTCTTGGGGGACTATATTTTAATTCCTTTTTAATACATTAATACATCTGCTTTTTAATGCCATTCTAACTGAATGTGTGGGTTTTGTGGTGATCTTGCATTGAGCACACATAAATGTGTGATTTTATATAAGCATGTAGGAATGGCTTAGCTCTTCTTACAGTGTTTATGTAAGCTTCATATTAAATATGTCTAGGAAATTCAAAAGCTGCAAACTATCCAGATTAATTGCTTTCCTTTTGCATTGACTGTCATACTCCTACTGTATTCAGGATGAACTTCATGGCACGTGGAGTATACTGCTGGACACTGCTGTATGGAAAAGACATCTATCTTTTCTATCCTTTGGCAGAGGAAAGCACATGCTGCATCACAAGGGTTGGGGTAATTACAGTGTATCTGGAGCTGTAGGCGTTCAAGATGGCCACAAGCAAAATTCGTGTGAGATGCTGCAGAGTGTAATACCCTGTGCCATCTATAAATTTAGAATATTTAGACTTGCTTTTTATTTTTCTTATTTTTTTATTTAAAACCAGAACAGAACATTGTTTCCTGCATTTGGGGCCCAATCCCCCAAACCCTTATGTAAATTATTCCATGGGCTTGGCAAACTTCTGTTTTCTGCTTTTTTTTTTTTTTTTTTTTTTTTTTTTTTTTTTGTTTTTTTTTTAAAAAAAAAAATTCAAAAAAATTTTAAAAAAATTTAAAAAAAAAAGGGGTGGGATGAAAAGAAAGTCTGTTAGATCACCCACTAACAAAATGTGTGGATTTGGTAATTTCATATCTCAAGGAGAAAAACTTCTGTTTTCTGCTTTTTTTTTCTTTTTTTCTTTTTCTTTTTTTTTTTTTTGGCATTGTTTTTAACATATAACATTCACATAGTAAATACCAAAGGACAAAATACAGCTTGTGCAGACTGTGTTTGTGCTGTTAAAGTAATTACAGGCATAGGCTGACCGCCTTTGTGGCCTCTTGGCTGTTTTAGGGGCTCTGCACACGCAGTCACCTGGTTCACACATGCCAAGGCAATTGCGTTAAATTAGCCATGCAATTTTGTTTGGAATTTAAACACATGGCTGCAAAAGCCATGGTGATTTGTGAGAAAAACATTGACTCTAAAAGCATCTGTGTAGCAATTTGGGGTATTTAATACTTCCCATTCTGTAAACTGGGAAGTATTGCCTTTATGCCTCTTTTTAGAAAGCACTGGGCTCCAGTGTTACCTCACCTGTACATTTGGGACACAATGGAGCAACACTAGAAATGATGAGTCTGCTGTGTTTCTGCACCTCTGATCATCATCTGCATCACACTTAATTCTGTAGCTTTTGGCAGTGTGGATTATTCCTGTTTTGGAACAACATGCTTGTATCACCAATCTGAACGCCACAAATACATGGTTTACTGCCTCCCCTCTCTGGAGTAACCTCATGCTTCCTACCAAAATTAGGCAGTTGATGTTGGACTCAAAAATCTCCTTTTTAAAAAGAATTTAAACTCTGTGGAGAGCTCTGCATTTATTTATTTTTCTGCCACTGATTAATCCCTTCATTTCGGATAATCTAGTAGAAGAAGCTGTCCAAGACAGGAACCAAAAGCTTGTCATTAAAGGAAGTCAAACCAAGAGAGGTGAGGTTCTTACCTGAAAGGAAATTGCCTCCCCAAACCTGTTCATCTAAATCCTGGAATAGAAACTGGAAATGGCTGCATTCATTCTGGCATCTGGAAAGGGGATACAGAATACAACAGTGAATTATATCCCAGAGTCTTTCAAAATAAGTATATTTTGTGGTATCCAAGGTCGTAGAGAAAAGTAAAACTGATGCTTCACGGTTTTTTTTCTAAGTTTAGTTCTGAGTAGGATGAGCTGGTTCAGTACTGATAAAAGGCTTCTTGTTTGGAAGGCATCCCTTCAATCATTTCTCCGGTCTTTTTGCAAAGCATGTTCCTGTATTTGGTTTGCATAACAAGCTTTTGCTAGTGGGGGGCTGCAGGTGTACCTTCTGTGAGAAGCTGCCAGAAGCTCCTGCAGTGTCTGACAGAGTCTATGCCAAGTGGGTCCAAGTTGGACACACCTCTGGCCCAGTCCAAACCCATCAGTGATGGTGGCAGTGCCTGTGGGACAACAGAGGAACAAATTCCTGGGAACTAGAATGAGAGTATGTGAGAGAAACGGCCCTGCAGACACACACAGGTCAGTGAGGAAGGAGGGGCAGGAGGTGCTCCAGGCACTGGAGCTGAGATCCCCCTGCACCCCATGGTGAGGCAGCTGAGCCCCTGCAGCCCGTGAGGGTCCCAGGGGGAGCACAGATCCACCTGCAGCCCACAGAGGACAGGTAGATGAGCGAGGGAAGCTGTGAACTCATGGGAAGTCCATGGTGGAAGGACCTGTGGCCCTATGGAGAGGGGACCCCACACTGGGGCAGGTTTGCGGGGAGGATTTGTGATCCTATTGGGGATGACTTGTGATCCTGTGGGGAACCCTCTCTGTACCCCATGGGAGGGGCCTATGCTGAAACAGTTCATGCAGAACTACAGCCCAGGAGAAGGATGTGCACTGGAGATGTTTTTGGAGTACTGTCTTCTGTGGGAGGGAGCCATGCTGGAGGAGGGGCAGAGGAGTCCACCCCTTTCAGGAAGAAAGAGTAGCAGAGAAAACATGGTGAAATGACCACAACTCCCATTCCCCATATCTCTGTGCTGTGGGGCAAGAGGAGGGAGATTATTTGCACGTGAAGTTGAGCCTGGGAAGAAGGGAGGAGTGGGAGAGAGGTATTCTATTATTTGCTTTTATTTCTCATTATCCTCCTCTGATTTGATTGGTAATAAATTCAATCAATTTCCCCAAGCTGAGTCTGTTTTGCTGTGGTGGTAACTGGTGACTGATCTCTCCCTGCCCTTACCATGTACCCATGAATGTTATATTTGGTTTTCTGTCCCTTGTCCAGCTGAAGAGGGGGACAGTGGAGCAGCTTTAGTGGGCACCTGGCATCCAGCCAGGGTCAACCCACCACAGTCCATCAGCTATGGAGATGTTTCCCACCAGGCCCATCTCCTCTTACCTTCGAACAACCTTATTTTTCTTGGCAAAGGCATTTGGAGCAGCTCCAGGAGAGAAGATCGTATCCTGAATGTCACTGCTGCCTGACTGCATTCTAGTAAATGGAGAATATTTGTGTCTGGGGGTGGCTTACTCCATACTCACTCCAGGCTGTATGGATTTATGTGCCTATGTATGTAGACAGTAAATCCTGAACAGAGACTCTAGGAGCACTTTGCACTTCTCAGATACAGATGTGCATCCAGCCACATCCTGACTACAATTTTGGGTGAGATTTTCTGCCTTTCCTGTGTCTCTTCCTCCTTCTCACTACTCAGAAATGTTGGTTTCCCATTGGAAAAAGGAAATTTAGTGAGGTGAAGCCTTTGAGAGCTAATGGCATTCTTCATTTGCTCCTGTGTCTGGAGTAATCTGGAATATTTCTGCAAACAAAGATTATTCACATGGGGGTTGGGGGGGTAACATAACACTTATCCTGTCTGGAAAATAAAGAAAATATGTATTTTCTCTTGGTTTTTCTTGTATTATTATTTTAAAAATCTGTGTGCCCCATTCTTGCTTTTTTGCCAATAATAATAATGCCATAGATATTACAAGTTTATTTTTCTGTGCTGTAGATACTTGCATATTATATCACTTTAAAATAAAATTAAAATGAAGAAATGGAGAGTAAAACCTCAAAGAAGTTTCCGAGGCCTTGTTTATGATTTTCTTTAGTATCTTAGTATAT